ATTAATTAATTAATTGAACGTGCTAATTAATAGAAGCCGAATTAATTTATTGATATAAAAAAAAACGTTCGTGATTAATTAAAATGATCAATTTCCCGATTTATTAATGTCAAAATGGTAATATTTTTTTTATATAAATATGTTTTTCATATTAAAACTTGCTTGTTGGTGTTTGATTAAAATATTGTCCATTATATAGCTAAAACAGCTTTAATAAAAGTTTTAAAACAAAGAAAAAAATTAAAAAAAATTATTCAAATTTTCATAAAATTTTCTGAAGTTTCGGTATGAATTTGTAAAACATTTCTGAGCATACAGTTTTATAACACACGTAAATTAAGTATAGTTAGGTGCAAATTTGAAGACTTTGACTTTGAAGACTTGTTTTTTTTTTAATTTTTGTGTGCTGATAGTCTTTTTCGGTTTCGCGATTTTCAAGTGTATTCAAACTTGCACTTTGTTATAAATACTAAAATTTCATGTGTTATAAACTGCATACGCAGAAATGTTTTAAAAATGGAAGTTAGAAAATCTTGGTGAAATTTTAAGAATTGTTGTAATTTTTTTTCTTTCTTTTTAGACCAATACCAATTAAAAATCGGGCTCAATATTTCTCTTCCAAATTTTATTAGCTTTCATTTAAAAGCAAATTAATCAAATCGGTTGAAAAATTAATTCTCTGTACTAATTTAAGCAGTAAATTCCAGTTTTGGACCACTGGTTCTGAGGTGATTTGAAGTTTGAAAAATGAAGAAAAGTTATTCATTGTCATTGGTATATACAAGAAATGTAACCAAAATTTTCAGATCCTTTGGTAATTTTTCATAATTTGAACAGCTTAATCGAGGACATTTGGTCCGATTCCCATCACCTCCAACTTGTTGAAATTTGTTGCACTATGATATGAGTTGACTACCCAAATAAAGAGAAAATTGTATAGCATAAACTCACTTTCGACTAAATGACCTAGTAAAATTATTTGCTGACGTATTTAAAGTTAAATACAAAGTACTATGAGTATAATTTATTGCCCCCCAGCAAATTGAAAAAATTATATTTTGGGTAAACTTTAAATGTTGTCCGTTGTGTCTGCGAATGACGTAGCCAATGATGCATTCATGATGCATTGAATATACAAATACAACCACATCTGTCTCTGTTTTCATATAAACACTATGATTTGTATGTAATTAAGAGTTCTACTGCCGAAATGATGACGTCGAAGGCAGGTGTTGATCATTAACTGGAACAGTGATCTCTCTAAAATGGGAAAATATGCCTATATTTATGTCATCACTTACATGCAAAGTTATATATAAATGTAAATATTTGTATACACAAATAGCACAGCAACCAAAAATCATAAACGGGCAATGTAGGTAAAAAAAAATTTAACTTCTGGTTGTTTGCGTGTGTATTTCTGCATTAAAAAGCAAATGCAAATGGAGAACCCACGAAATAGCAGGTCAAACATCCAGCTCAAACTGAGCTTTTCTCCACAAGAAAAGTGTAACTAAAGTTGTCAAAAATGCCCGTATAAAACACCGTTCAATTCATTCTAAAAACCTCTGCAAATCTTTTGATCACACTAAACTTTAAGAAAAATTTAGTAAAAATACCAAACAAAGTTGTTTACCAGCCTCCAGCAAAAAGAAAAAACACAGAACAGTGGGAGGTGCGACCTTCCCCCAACGCGGTCGGAGCGCAAAAATAATTTCAAAAAGTAAGAGACTAGTGTGGTGGCAGTTGAGTACGTGCAGCGGCAAAAATAATTTCCGGCACAACGAGTACAGCCAACCTCCTGTTTTTGGCGCTATCTATGTATCTTGCGAGCTGTGTTCTTGCTGTCTATGCCAAGGTACTTTACCGCCTCTTCCGCTTACTTGCTGTGCCTCAAGTTCACATCCCTCATATTTATGAACGCGCCCACCTCATACTCGTAAATCTGTAAACATGCCATGCAGGTGGAAGTGTGTACGTGCGCGTCCAATGGAAAGCTGCATGCAAGCATTATTTGTTGATTTTGCTAAGCTGTCGAATTTCGGAAAATAACATTCCGCAAACACACACTTGGAATGCGCGCCACAAATACGTTCAGCAGCGCGCTGATAGCGAAGCGTAAGAAAGAAACCATGAATGAATCTCTGGGCGATGTAGTTGGGCTTTGAATGCTTAATAGCGCCTGGAAGCGTTTTGCTTGGCCGTGGTTGGTTGCCTTATTTGGTTGTACTATTTAATACAGCGCCTTATTCAATGATAGACCAAAACAAATGCAAGAGGGATTTTCATAGTACCTTGACGTTGTGTGTTTGAGCACATATTCAAAAAATAATATTTTTCTTCTTCGATTTGCCGCGCAATTGGCCTCGAATAGCACAACATCAGCCACCTACCCCTATGGCACAGCCATTCTCAAATACACGACTCTTAGACAGTGAATAAAATTTATATTTTTGCTGTCCTCTTGATAAACACCAAATATTTTCACACAAAACTCTTAGCAGCCAATAAATCGCACAGGTGAGTGAATTTGAAAACAAACCAATTGATTTCGATTTGTTTGAAATTCATGTGCTGTGTGATTTTATTTAGTGTCCTACATGTGTATTGGTGCGCAATTGTTATCTTTATGAATATTGTTTGTTGTTTGTTTATGTACATACATACATATGTATTTGTTAGTATAAAATCTCTTTAATTTGTAAAATATGTAAAATTTTTATAAAATCTGTAATTTATGCTGACAATAAGCCAGATTAACACACTTTCGCACATATGATTTTGTTCGAAAAAATTTAGTTCTTCTTTCTAATTGGCTAACTGATTTTGTAGAAAATGTTTGGCCGCCGTAGCTTGCTATTTTATTGAATCTGCCGGAAGTAAAGTCAAATAAAATTTTAAACCATCTTACCATGACCCTTGGTTACCACCAGCTAAGCGTTTTACTGCCCATATTCGGCATGCCGATAGGAACTAGAAGCTTACTGAGTGATTATTCTCCCAGCTTGGATTGCCACCAGAGCTGCTAGTTCCTTTTTATTTTCAACGAGCGATGCGTAACTATCCTCAATATTTGTTACTACTTAACCAATGTTAATACTAGTTTATACTTCAGCTAATATATGTAAACTCTGACCAATGATGTTCATGTCGATTTTAATCCCATTGTAAACACCAGTTTTTATAAACACTCTTGGTACACTATAGGCAGCCGCCGGGATCGAATGATCAAATGATCTCAAAGCCAGAAATGTTCTGGCCAGTCTATAGTGTCCACTAGCGTGTTCCATTACTCGAAACCCGTTTTTTGTGTTGTCTGCAAAATGATAACTAAAAAAAAAACTGCCCCCATTTTCAAATGAAGAAAACCTGGGTAAACTGGTTTTATTTTAGATATTTTCCATACTGTTACACTTACTGTTAGTCCGAAATCCTGGCTAAAACTGAAATGTGGCTGCCCAAATAAGTAAATAAGCTTTATACCCCATTGTCACCAAAAGCTTAATTGCAGTTAACTGCTCAGATAAGTTGCAAGAATTTTAACATGTGGTGATCGCCAAAGTTAATTTCTTTCTTATTCCATACACCATCTGCTGAACCCGACCGACTATACAAATATATTCTACCATGGACAGGCCATACATTGAGATGCAATCTACACATTCTTAAACTCTCAGCCTGTCAATTCCATCATCGGAGAACAGCGCCATCTATCGCAGACGAACAGCTGAAGTTGCTTCGTGAGACTCGCGATTCTTTAACACAACTCCGTTCTGCATTTTTTGGCAGGTTAAACTGTTCAGTCCAATTCAAGTAAGATGTCCCGACCACACTAGCTCCACAGGCTCACAGGCTCACTCACATCAGCTCCGCTCTAATATCCCTCTCCCTACGGCCCATAACCCGTCGGATGAAGACAACATGTGCATATATAGTCGATTCACTGATGAAGATAGAGTTTAGTAAGCTTCTTCATAACAAAAAAAAAGCAAAAACACAATGCAAGATTTTCGTTCGGTTTTCTTTTATTTTTAAATACTTTCTTGTAGTACCATTTTCTATCAAATGAATTTTAGAGTTCTTGTATTCTTGCATATAAATGAACCACGTAAAAATTCGGATTATTCGATGGGAAAAATCCGGTTTACTCAAAAATTCAGGGTTTCAAAAAAATCACCTACAAATATTTAAAAAAAACCGGTTAAAACCCAGTTTGAAAAAACCGAGTCAATCACCCTAGTGTCCACAAAAAGGTTAACCGCTTCTACAGTAAAATTTTTTAATTAATAACTTTTAAAGGCAAATCAGAACAATATTCGTTATGCACTCCGAGTAAATACTATCGCAAATTTGAATTCACTGTGGCACCCAAGCTCCGATGAATCTTATCACGTTTGGATGAAAGTTCGCTGGCGAAGCAGACGGAAGGAAGTTCTGCTAGGATTTTTTTTTATCAATTTTAAATAAATGCTGGCGAATAACTGCAGTGTCTTCCAAGCAGAGATTGCCCCCTTCAAATAGGCCACCTATACAAGTTGCTTACCAAAGAGACACAATTTAATAGGAAACCTCAATTCTTGGTTTTCTTGGAAAATATTCAAAAGTTATCTAACAAGCCTTCTTAGATATTAAAACTAACTTTACTTATGCATATGCAAATATTTTGCACAAAAAGCAAAACATTTTTGTGAATTAAATATATTTTCTAGTTTATTTCTGAATCTAAAAGCTTCTATGCAGTGGAGAGATGCATGCAAATTTTAATTTGCGGCAACACTAATTAAAATTTGTCAATTGCGCAACATAGTTATTTGTTGGGTTCCATGAAACTAATACCAATTAAAACTTATATTTTCCCCCTGAAGCAACTTCTACAAGGTTCGAAATGTAATGGAATAATTGACCGCAATTAAAAATTCACAAGCAATCGTGAATACAAACAAAGGCTTATGCTTGTAGGTAGATACATACATATGTATATATGTACATATTTATGTGTAAAAAAGGAAAATACGCATTGATATAACATTTATATTTTCCAAACAAGATGCACTAATAAATACATACTACGCATGTACATTGGGGTGGTCCAAAATAAGTAAAGTCGGAATTTTAATGCACTCATCCGCTAGGATTATTCTATGCGGAAAAAAACTTACCCCTATTTTTTATTTTTTTTAAATCAAAAAATATTTAGAGGTCGCTCAAAAGCGCTCAAACTTTTCCATGTATTTTGTGTGGGGAAAAACAAATTTTCGTAGAAATGGTATGGAATTCTTGAACACCAATATTTTTCGATCGGAAAACTCTGTTTCTCTTCAGGAGATCTCCAATAGCAATGCCTAATTGTTTATTTAACCATTTTTTAATGCTAGAGATTTTCCATTACATTTTCTGGAATTTCCCAAAGGTTTTGGCGGACGTATAAAATATAGTTGCTACGAAAATTTGGTTTTCCCATATAAAATACGTGGAAAATTTTGAGCGACCAATAAATATTTTTTGATTTCAAAATAAAAAAATATGGGTATATTTTTTTTTTTTGATATAGAACAGTCGTAGGGGGTGAGAGCATAAAAGTGCCGACTGTACTTTTTCACATGCATTTTTGGACCACCCTAATGTACATACATACATTCGAGTACTTTCGCCAGACATTGCACGCATTTATCACATTGCACACAAGGCTTCACAACACTTTCAGAAATCTGTTCACCTGAAAATGCCTCCTGGCTCAACCCACCAAACAGCTATCCGATTTTCATACATTTCTTAATCGTACAGTTACCATTTATCTGTGTATCATCCACCTACGATTCGCAACGAAGTGAAAATGCGTTTGTTTTTATGCAACTGACAGATGCAACAGAAAGATTGGAAAGTAAACACAGGTATCACTGTTTATGTAGAGATGCATTGAGCAATGAATGCTGTTGCTACACTTTTTTCATTTTGGTTAGGGACTGCTGTGCATCTCAACATACATATACGCGTGTACGGCTACTGCTTTTGTTTACATTGAGGCTTATTGCTTGTGGCTGGCGAAGTGCTTCACATTGTATCTTTAGGTGAGTGCAGAGGCTTGTACGGCTTGGTGTGATTACGTGTGTGCTTTGTGTGCAATCAGTTCTCCTTGTGTTTATCTCCAGTTCAATTGCCAAGTGCATACGAGAACTTCAGGTGGAAACTAATTGACCATAAAGTTAGCTGATTGGTTGTCGAAACAACCAGCCCACAAATCAAGTGTATGAAGTAGCAAATGGCTATACTAAATAGAAACAGCAACAAATGTAAAATACTTTTTCAAAGGGGGCTTAAATTGGGTGAGGAAGTAGGCAGTCATTTTTGAAATATTTTTTGGTAAATTTTTTTTCCACAAATATGAAAGGGAAACCCAAATCAAATCGATAACCACAAAGACGTAAACGATGAAGACACCGATAATGATAGTGAGAATGATAACCTTAACGACAAAAATTGTGATGATTCTTTTATTATTTTCAGCAAAAGTGCGCTTATTTTTCTGGTATTTGCTTAAAAATGAAGTTCGTAATTTCTCATTATTTCGACTCCCGAAAATTAAAACTATTCGTAAATTTTTATGGCGAACTCTAGAATTGGTTGCAACTTTTTAATAAATTTCAGGTTTTGTTTTCGAAATTCAAGATAAAGAAAGCATACCGTCACATCGTGATGTACATAACACTTACCAAAGGGTTTCACATATTTAGAGATAACAAAAAGAGAATAATGAAGCATCGATGCGGTTCTAAAAGTACTTATGGGCTCAAGCTTATCTAGCTTAGGCGTATTGCTATAGTAGGAGCCACTCTAAAGATGAGTAGGAGTTTGAAACCATAGTGGTATCGTAAATTTTCATATCCCGCCCTCTTCTAGACCCCTTAGCGTTCAACGAAAGTAATTTCCACTATTACCAGCTTCCCATTTTTTATCCTATACCTTGCCATTAATTTAAAAATATACTTCATATCTTAAATCGTCAATGGAATCCATATTAAAATAACCAGGGATTTAGCGAGGAATTGCTCCATGCTGCACTCCGGCGCAGAACTTCATGTAGTTAGCCGCAGCCAAGCTCAGTCAAAAAAAAAAAAATATCTCCCACAGCCGACCTCAAACTTCGCCTCCATGAGCTGGACTTCTATTGATACATACTCGGCGTTATATTTCCGTGTAGGTCAACTCATCTTGAGGTTCATGGATAAGCCATTTCAACTCCTTTACGAGCGTCTGATTAGACCTAGCATTTTTTCAGTTCAATGGTCTTTCGGAGGGTGATCGATGCTACTAACAAGTCTCGTTGAATTTATGAGAATAAAGTGATAAGTTTGTTTTTCCATTTCTGGGCTTCTGGATAGAAACCTAAGATGATTTCTTAACCAGGTTTTCGTTGGGGTTATCCTAAACGAAGTTTTATCCTTGGGTCGAACGCACGTTGTCGGAGGCAATCATCAAGGTTATACTGTTGGGTCAAATATGTCTAATTTTTCCAGCCTAGCATAGAAATTGCCAAACATAATTTTAACATCGTGATATGGGCAATATGTATTATTTTGCTCCTTGAGGCGCTCATATATTGGTCTTTGGTTTCACCATCCATCTTTAATTGGTGAACTTAGCTTTTACGCAAATTGTACTGCATTGATGTAAGGTTTGTATTTTTGGAAAACATACAGCGGTTGGATAAACTTTTATTCTCTTTAAAAGCTTGCTTTAGAAATTTTTTCCTAGACTACCGTTAAAATTTTACTTCGCTCAAAAATACATGAACATGGCCACCTCCTGGCTTAGAGAACAGATTTCGGTGTGAGCGGTGCCTATCTTAGATACTCACATAGCAGGCGTTAAAGCTTTTTAATTACCTCAGTTAATTTTAAATTAAAAGATAATTTCAAATAAATGGGGTATTCATTCAAGAGACGTTAGACGCAACCCTGTTAAAAAAAATTAGGTATTTGAGCCTTCTGAAATATGAGTCAATAAAAGTCGAATGAAGAGATACCCCTAAGATTTCATATTTTACACATTTTGTGATGCTCGAATTTCATCTAGTTTGAAATAATTTAAGTAAATAAGTTGAAATACATTGCAATCAAATACTTTGTATAGAATATTTGCTTTCGAAGCACCCTGTTGATTTGTACTTGCAATTACACAACATCAATTACCTGTGTGCAGTTAATCCATAAACACACACACACACACACACAAGCATATTTGTGTTACCGCAATTACTCAACCTGTGATTTACGCACTGATGCGGCATACCGAATGATGGCACACATCTTGCAAGTGAAAGGCGGCTAATGCCAAGGCAGCTAAGCAACTTCAATGACAGCTTGACATTGATCGCCGGCATACTTGCGGTCGGCGATTTGAGGGACGTTAGCTAATTTGCTGTTACTTAGGTCAGGCACCAGTATATAACTTCCATACACATTTGCATATGCAACAACATACATACGCATTGTCTTATTGAAGAGCCATGAATCAACAAAGCTTGCGCTATTTCTATGCAAATTACCAAAATTATAACCTTTGAAGGACTTTGTCCAAATTACACGCTGACCGAAGCTCGTACACAAAAGCCAAAATAACTAGCTAATTGCACAATATATTCAAGCGGTTATAAGTGCATTACGCACTTGGACTTGCTGCATAACCACACAAAGATTTGCCTACTAATTTACTCAGCCAATTCACTACATTTCCAATTACATCGTTATCTTGCAGGCGTTGCCGCTAACAACTTCCAAGCCATGACCGTTTCGGTTACGCAAACAACGCAAGGAGGTTCCACCATTACCTCCATCACCAAACCGTGCACCGCTTCCAGCTGTTACGCTTCCACTCGTTCGGCTGCCATGATGGCACTCGCTTTGGGCCATCGGCCGAGAAGTGCTGCAACATCAGCAGCGGCAGCAGCAACAGCAACAACAGCTGCTACAACTACTGGAAACACCAACAACACCAACAATAGCAACAACAAGAGCATCAACGCAAACTCTAACACCAACTCCGATTTTAGCCCACCACCACCAGTCGGTGTCACAAACAAATCACCGAATTCGGTGCAACGCAACGCCGGCAACAATACGGACAACACGCGTTACACCACCGTTGCCGCTGTGCATATGAATGGCGGCACTGGCGTTGGTGCTGGTTTTGGCAGTGGTGGCAGTGCTTCTAGCGGTTCGGACAATGACGGCTTCAACACCTCGTCATCTTCATCGGCCACTGCGTTGCGTCGCTTTTATTTCAAGAGTGGCCGTAAATCAAAAATGAACTCCACGGCTACCACTTCGATGACCAGTATACCGTTGAATGCCGTTTCTACAGCAGCTGCTGCATTCCACACGTCGATAAGTGGCGGACTGCCACCAACATCAGCTGCCGGCACTGCTGCAGTACCAAAGGTGAGTGGGAAAATGCTATGTACGAGTTGAGGATGTACATATGTATTTAGTATACCATAAGTGCTGGTTAAATAGAATGGTTTTAGGGTAGACAGTAAAATTGATGGAATTATGTAAGTTTGAAGTACTGAAAGTGCTTGTTAATTGCTAATATATTCGGTAAGAGGAAGAGTGATAAAGCTGACGACTTCATTTACAGGCAAGGTGATTATAGTCATTACAAATTTGCGCAAAATAATTGTTTGCTTTGAATAGGGACTGCAGTCAAATATAATAATAAAGGATTAAATTTTCGATAGCACTGGGTCGTAATAAATCTAGTTGGTATAGGTGCTTTTCTGAGTTTGCCGATTTTATGCGGTTTTCGTCTGGGCGAATGCACATGAAGTGACTATGCTATTCATAAAGCTGGAGCGGACCTTTAATGGAATCAGTGCGGCAACAGGGCAGTGTCGAAGCTTGACTGAAGTGTTGGTGAATTAGTTGTGTGCAAACAGCTCTCCAACAAACTCAAATTTAGCCTTCCAGATCTTTATATGTAGTGTTTTCCTGGCAGAAGTATTTGTCATTAAGAGATCAGTCAATTAGCTGCTAACAGATAAGAGTTGTAAAAGTCTATTAACCAGTAAGCTTAACACTTTTTCCTAGCCAGACTTATGTGCGTACCACAACTGAGACAAATTACAGGAAATTTTGTTGCGGACAGATGGACCTAATATCAGCCCAGGCTTTCAGAATTTATGCTTTAAAGACGTTTTCTCAGGCTGACAGAGGTCGCGGCGCTATATACCCTGATACCCTAGGCAAGATTACTTCACTTCGTAGTTCGTTATGCTCTATAAACTAGCTCTTCTGATTCTTAGTTCGTTCAACTTATTGAACTATAGTTTACCTAATTGATAGTAAGAGCTGAGTTACAGAACAATAAATATGTATGTTTTATAACAATGTATACCGACTTGTAGCGTTGAACAATAATTTTTAGGACAGAATTTTCCAGAATATTTTTCATCAGCGCTAACTCCGGTTCTTCATCTTCGATCTTCGCGAATATCAATCCAAGGCTGATAACGCACCCACCGAAAGAGCACACATTGCCAGTACTGTTGGTGTCCGACAGACTGAGGGTAAATTCACCCCCATGCTCCTGCGAGCTCGTTCATTATTATGTTCTCCTTGACTAAATATATAGGGGCTGAAAGATATCCCTCTCACATCGCATTGGAAAACGCAGAAGTCTACCTGATTTAAGCCGCAGCTGATTTTTGAGAGAACCGAGCGAAACCGCATTGAGAAGCTTTAATGCTTACCGACAGGATTCCTCGGTTTGGTCGAGGCTAAGTGTAAAATTTGGATTGTAATACCTGAGGCCTTTTTCAATCTCCCCAGGCTCAGAGAACTTGACATGAAGTCACACACGTATCTGTGAACGAAGGGGAAGGCCTATGGCAGCACAGACAATCAATTTGAAGTTTCGCCGAACGGTAATTTCTTTGCTTAGAAGTGGCCAGAATACTGACGAGATGGCCAACGACACAGACTTGCACTCCTTTCTGAATATAGCACCGCAACTCATGGCAGGCTTCCTCACACTTCAGACAACTTTTCTGCCTGCAGGCCAGCGGTGGTCCCCAAGATGTTGTCAGCCATGCGAAGGGGAAAATGGATCGCCGCTTGCGGCTAGTTGAAAGCTCCCGACTAAAGACTGTACCAAGAAGCAAAACCGATGGTAACAGTGAACTTTAAAAGCTAAGTTTATCTCATTTCCACAAAGGGCTTAACTGCATTTTTTCGCATGCTTTTCCTTAGCTTGAGCAATTTCCTTCTTCTAGTTGTAATCTACTTTTCCAATAGTCATAAACTACAGTTAAGGTTTTGTGGAAATTAACTATTGAGGCATTTATAAAGAGCAATGATTCAAGTTAAAGAAGCGATGCGGATCTCCACAGTACCTGAGTCTTTTCTTCAACCTGCTAGTGCAAACCAAACGATGGTAGATAAACCCTATTCGTTGTGACATTTTCACGAAAATACTGCAGAACATTGTCAAGCTTACTTCTCACTCACGGCTTACACATTTAAAATAGAAGTCACCGAGAGGAAATGGATGGAGTCAGGAGCCAAGGCAACGCTGTATCAAAAATACGACTTAAATACTTGTGGTAGGATGTCTGAAGACTGGCGTCACAAGCTCGCATTAGATTCGCTTAAAGCATTTAACTACATCCTCAACGATGCCTAGGACAAATCTATGCCAGCCTAAGTGTGGCACACAGCCGAAAATTAATTACATTTAACTTTCACTTAAATTCCAACGTTTTAATGAAATAATGATAGGTTAAATGAAACCATGAATAATTCATACAAATTCTGAAAATTCGATTATCTAATGTTTGCTTTAGCACATGTACCGCCCATCATTTATATCATTTATCAAAACCAGTCACATAATTCATTATCATTTATCTAAAATTGGGTCGTATTAATGATTAAACTAAGAGCCCAGCTACACTTTGCCGCTATCTATTTGCATCAGCAATAAACACTCTCTACTTTGCCAGGTTGTCATAATGGGTTCCTCATCAGCTTCCATAACCGATGCCAACATCAATACATCAACGGATTCAGCGTCGACGCTAGTGACAAGCGTAACACATACAGACACATCAGAAGCATGCGATTCACTGGATTTGGGTAAGTAAACGCACACGCTTTTGCCCGAATAGATTAAGGGACAGACAGAAACAGCAACAACAACAACAACAGCACAAATAACGAAAACTCAATTATCAATGAATGGTTAATGACTAGATATTTATTGCTGGTAGACTGGTGACTGGAAGATAAAGAAATTATTAGCGACACGCGCTCGCACGAATAAATATTAGACAGTGTTTTGGTTAGAATAAAAAAATAAAAAAAAAAATAAGTGTTTTGCTCTGAGTTTAACGAATTCAAAAAGACAAACATAAACACACAGTTTATTAGCGCAGTTGCATGCAACATTTTTTTTTTTTCTTTTTTTGTTAAGTACATACTTGAGTGCTGCATAGCGGGCGTTTGACTCGATGGAGAGCAATTCAAATGGGTTTAGGTGATTGGCTGCGCACTTTTATTTGAACTTGTTGCTCGGCTAAACTGTTTTTTTTTTTTTGCTTTTTATTTTGCTGCTGCTACTTTCATTGCCGCCGCCGGTCACTGTTCGAAAATTGCAAACGTGTTAGCTCGTAAAATGCTTGTTTGTTTTTGTTTGTGGCTCATAAATAAATTTGGAACGAAATGAAATGCTTGCATAGTAAATAAATAAGTAAGTAAATTAATTAATCATCGGTTCAATGTCGTACAGCAGGGCGTATGATTAATGCAAATTCGCTTAGCAAATTCATGTACCAACGCACACACACACACACACACACACACACACATGTGCATAAATTGATAGGTGCGCATGCAACAGAGTTATTGGAGCGTAATTTACTTTAGTGTGCATTAACCATGGAAACAATGAAATTTGCCCAAAATTTGCTGACTGGAACAATAACAAAATTTAATAATACATAGCTGTAGTAAATTCGACTTGAGATAGGTGGCATATACATATGTACATAGGTACATGTGTAGGCAAGGATATACCTACATTAGAATGCACCAAAAAATTAAAGTTCTCCTAAAAGAGTTTTGCAAATAAATTTGTGTTTTTATTTTCGCCGAACGAAAGGTTCACCTTTTAATATTTTTCATCATATCTTTGGCGGAAAAAGAGAAGAAAATTTTATTTTTGTACCAAACTTCAACTTCATTAACCTCAAGTACCCCGTTCTAGTACTTTACCACCAAACCCTAACGTACTACCCTAATTTCGGTAAATTAAGGCTCGCCGAAAATTTTCCAACTTTTTCTGAGGATGTACACATTTCGATTTGAAAGCAATTTCGGATTCTTTTTTTCTTGTTACCGAACGTAGAGGATTGGCTTTTACATTTTTCGTGACATCTTCGGCATTTTCAGTGGGATCTTGAAGCATAATATATCGCTGTTCTTGTCTCGAATACGCCATTTTTTGTTCTATAGAGCATTGACCTCGAACCCCCCGTCTGAGTACTTACCCACCAGATCTCAGTTCCTACCATCCTAACGTAGCACCCTAATGTCAGTAAATTAAAGCCCTCCAAAAATCGTAATTTTTTTTTTTTAAAGAATTATCTTGATTTTTCTCGCAGAACTATTTAATTTTATTTGCCAAATTTAGGGATCACCAAAAGATGCAAAAAGGCCAAAAATAAAATTTTTTTTTTCGAAATGGGATGTTCGGCGAACTTACTTTTTTGTTTGCTTGTAATATGGTACAGTTTAATAAATGTACATAAGTATACATATATTAGGGTGCATCACCTCCATACAAAAAAAAAATGGGTTCTGTTTTTCCAATGGAATTATACAATTTAATATATTTTAAGTCCTCTGCCAATATAGTATATCGGGAAAATATTTGAATAAGATTTATGTGAACCATTTGAAAATACCTCCACGATTCAATTTTTTTTTATAATTAAAATTAGTTTTCCCTCAGATGATAGAAGATTTTAAGCCTAAAGGGCTGCACAAATAATTTTTTCACAATTTTATCAACATAATTAAATAATGATATTTTTGAAGGTAAGTTCATATCGGGGTAGCACATGTAAAGCTTAATATGTTTACGAAATATTTTGCCGGAAGTCTTAAATGTAATAGATTTTATGATTCCGTCGGAAAACCTACAATTTTATATGCGATGCACCCTAATATGCATAAATAATCACAAAGCACAGCCCAAAAGGCAAATAATTTCGGTTTGAATATTTCGTTTTTTTTTTTGTTTTTCAAACATTTCAAACGCCTCACTTAGCCAATTCAATTAGGAGAGTACAATGTAGCGCCACGTACATCAATTAAAATGCATTACTATGTAAACTTGGGCGCCTATGCGAAGGAAACGGATGTGTTTGCTAAAGAAAAGCTGAGTAGCCTCAAATAAAAGCACCCAAGCAGAAGAAAAAAAAAGCACCTGTTCATTACACTTTGTTTGAATTGATTGATTAATTGATTGATAGTTAAATGCTCTGCATCCGATACTTTGTTGTAGTCGTATAGCTATTGACTGACCCAACAAATGAAAGTGCTGATGAAAACTGATAAGCAAACCAAACTAAACAAAGTAAAGCCAGCAGCTCTCTAGCAAATCTTTAATTCATGCAGTGAAGCATTGATTCCTTTAGTTTGCACTTCTTCTCCCACCCACTGACTTATTTAAATGCTAACGCTGTTGCTGCTTTCTAATTTCCATTTTACCCTTTGATTTTGAATAAGCAACCGCGCCGTACATATCGCTCACTTCCCCTTTCGCTATTTGCGTTATTTTTATTTGTACTTATTTTTTATTTATTTCCTTTTTTCTTCTCTTCGTTTTTTGCTTGCAGGCGATAATTCGGGCCAGAGCGAACCGTTGTTCAGTTCGCTGGAAGAACCGTTGCTGACCGCCATACAAATCGACTCCGAGCATGAAAATGCCACCGAACTGGAATTAACGAGTTGCAACATGTACAATCGACCGGATATGAGTGTGCAGGATAGCACTGAGGTGAGTGAGTGGGAGTACTTGAGAGATTGATTGAATGCCAGAGTGAATTCAAGAAAAAACAAACGTTCGTATGCTTGGTAGTGTTATAGCCTCAGTAAAAATTTTATAAAGTAAACAAGAATATAAATTTTCTGGATAAATGCACGGAGGAGTGAAAAAGCTACTTATATTTCACGTATAATTTATTAGAGTAAAACTCGGGATAAATTGGTGTGCCTTCCGAGAGTTAACCGCACACAAAACTTCAAGATCTTTTTGCCATCCCGAGCATCCAGAGCAGAAGGTTACGGCATGCAACACAGACGGCTTCTTTTCACTAGCATGGGGCAAGGTAACTCTGTTTTCAGGCCGAGGTTCAAGCCATAGAACTATGTATGTCTGAGGCAGCATATAGAAAGTGGGACAGCGCGGCGCACCTCGCACCTCAAAGCTGGTGTGGGACTGCCTTCAGCTTTTAATACTTATCGCCTCCAGGTACGGGGTATAGGTCATATAGGCGTCGGGACACGGTGGAGTCATGGGCAAAGAAGTGGCAGATATTCTCGCCAGGAGGGGGCTGCACAGGTATTATAAGCCTAGGACCCTTTACTAGTCTGCCATGGAGCTCCTTCAGGCGCGAAACTGCTATATCTGGATGAAGAGCGAAACGCAACATTACTGGACAAACATGGAAGGTAATATACAAGCCTGACCAGTGTAGGTTGTGCAACGCAGTAAAGGAAACAGCAGAGCAAATTATGTGCCACTGTGAAGCCCTCAGTAGGCCCAGATTTCGCTTCCTAGGATCATCACACCTAGAAGCATACGACCTAATTGGCATTTAGCCAAATGACCTCTCGACGTTTCTTATCAATACGTGCATCAAAGGAGACCTGTAATTGAATAGAGTTTTGTGACAATAGATCGTTTCGGTCGCGGTTACTGAGTGACCTGCTCCCTCCTCTAAATCAAATCTAACCTAATCTTATCTAAGAGTATTCAAATCTTAAAAAAACCTAGTACTGCGAAATCCATTTATAGTATATTTGGGTGCTTTTTTTTTTTTAAATTTGAAAAAATTCCAGAAGAAAACTGTTAAGATCCACGATGCCTATCCTTATAAGGCTTTTTTAATTATATTTTCTGGCAATGCCGCGAAAACTCTTGTGGTGTGAAGTAAGTTCTTATGTGTAATGTTAAAAGTATTCGCTACGCAACAGCCTAACTAATCGAGAGAATTCCGATTCTTAGAAATGAGTAGGTAAGTTTCTTTTTCACATGATCTTCAGAGAAAATCGGCTCAAACAATCTTAGTTTAGGCAATTCATCTAACAATCAGTTTTAGGCAGGCCTTCCAACTGGGCTTAGACCGTGCCATTTTCAACTTGCCATAGGGTGCCAAAAAGGTACTTGAAAAGTAGAACTAGTTCAATACGTTTTTGTGAAATCCTTCGCACTTACTACTTCTTCAGCAAACTAAAAGACTTCTAAAATGTCCGTACGTATTGATGTCGTTACACAAATGGAGGGACCTACAGTTTTAGGCCGCGTCCGCTAATGGATTTTTATGAGAAGCTTTTTGACGGCAGAAGGTTTGCCATTGCTTGCTGGGGTTGACCGCCCAGACTAGATTAGAGGTTGAACACAGTTCCTGCGGAGTGGTAGTACGCACCTCTAAAGTTTAGATTCTAGTTGATCTTAAATCGCGTAATTATGCCACCGTTCCTTTTCTAGCATTTCTCGCTTGCTATTATATTTACATACGTTGCGCTGCCAAATCAGCTTTTTGTCGCTCCTGTTGTTGTTGTAGCATCTACTAAACCCCGCTCGGGTCGGCTTGTCCATCAAAGTTGTCATCAGGCTCAGCTAAAGGGAGGCCCACGAAGTGTGCAACTTCCACCGGGTCTGTCCATGGGGACAGGGCGTTAGCTGGGTGGGATTTAGTGGGCCATGCGAAGAGATGCCGTGAGTCATTTTATATTTGAATAAATAAATAAACATCTGCGTTCACTCTGATCAGGTACGAGCTTAGCTCCCGAGGCAGACAAAGCTCTGTCCCATCCACGTCGTATGGTTGTGCTTCTAACAGGGCATTCACAAATCGGCAGTCGATGTAAGTCGGTACCGACTCTCGACTCTGAATGCCGTTTCTGGCCTATGTATGTTGCCGGATCCAGAGATTGTCTTATGAACCTCTGTTGAGCGTGTCGCTTCTGTTGAGAGTGCTACTTAATTTAGGTTTTAAAGCTGAAATTTAAGGACTCTAGTTGAATTTTCAAGGGGAACCAAAACTACTTCTGCAGGATTGACATTGGACATACATTATTTTACCCACTGGTATAGTTATTTCATCCAATGTTGATAAAAAATACCAAATTAACCCAAAATATGAATTCTAACTTATTCACAAAGAGAAAAAATTTGAGTTCCTTTTGCAAGAAATCATCAGCTTAGTCAATAACTTTTTTGATTTTACGCCCGTAAAGCAAATATTTGTCAATAACAAAAATAATTATCTAAATCGTAAAGAAATTAAGCGAAATCCTCGTTTTTCACTCTTGAATTCGTCAAGGTGCTTAACTAGCAAATACCAAACAAGTATCCTACATCTATTGCATTAGTTATTTATCGTTTATGCATAATTTTCTTAGAATATATCGACGGATGATTAGACGATCGACCTATCTCGACAACCGGTTCGAAAACGCCCTAGATCATCGCAGAAAATGTTTCAAGAACGCTTTATATCAGAATTCGGTTCCAAAACGCATATAAATATATTTTTAATATATTTTCAGTTGAGACAGAGCGTTCTTCAATCAAATTCTGAAGTAGGTGTTCTTGGGCGGATCTTTGAGATAGGACATTTTTGAACCGTCTGCCGAGATGGATTGATCTTACACTCAGCTGTAGATATGCGATGCGCCGTGTGTTCCGGTCGCATAAAAAGTACCTCAATTCGCTTCGAATAAATTTAGGCACATCTATATTTTTTTCTAGCTATAAATCTAGCACTTGAAATAATTTCTTTCTTATTACTTTTCTATGCTTCAATTTTCGACAACGCAGAGTCAGGAGTCATCGCTGTCCATTCTCACAATTGAGCCATCTTCAACCACACCGCTCCTTGCCTCGCATCGTCGTCAACAGAGCAACAAATGCGGCATGTCTGCTCCACCCGCCGCCAAACTAACAACCTCCAACAACGCAGAACGACTGCCGAGTACAGCACCAGCGCCTAGCAGTGGCACCAAACATTTTACTTTCGATCCGCCAACATCACCGAAGTCGGCGCGCACAACCGAAAAGTCACGCACACATTTTAACTTCAAGGAACAGCAGCAGCAGCCGCAACAGCCACGCCGCGGCAGCAATTGGGAAGACCAACGCATCCACACAACCAATTTCATTGAGGACCGCAGTCCCACCGCCACGCGGCGGGATAACTCACCGAGCCGCAGCAAATATCGAGCTTATGCTGCACAACGGCATGCAGCCGCAGCCGCTGCGGCACAAGCTTACTATGAGCAGCACCACCTTGCCGACGACGAGGAATCTCTGGAAGGCACGCGCAGCAAAAAATCACGTTCACGTGAAGCCAGCAGCAACACGCGCCAACGCTACCCACCTGGCAGCAATGGTGGTGCGGCGACCAGTCCAAAGCGCGAACAGCGCCGCTCGCCCTCCAGTTCAGCGCCACCCACCATGAAGGAGGCGCACTTCTTTGCCAGCGGTGTGATCAAAACCGCCAAGCAGCTGTCGCCTGCCTCGCAGCAGCGCAAGTATTCCTCCAGCTCTTCGTCGGGTGGCAGTGAGCGCGGACGTGAGCGCACCAAAGATTCAACCATGTTCCCGTTTGATCGTGAGGCCATCGACTACGATCGCATACAACGCGAATGCTTCGCTGTCGATGAAAACTCAAGCTCAGCAACTACGACTAGCGACTCAGACGATGCAGAGCCTTGTTCGGTGTATGAGCGCAAGATGTCCGTACACCACATTTCGCCCAGTAAAACAGGTGACGCATTTCAGCAATACAAGCTGCTGGCACAGCACGAACAGGTGCAGCAGCCACTGGAGGCGCTGGTGGGTGGACCACCGTCACGCAAAAATTCGAAGCGCATCCGGCCCAGTTCCGTTATCCATGCGACAATACGCGAAATTCAGCCGTTTGTGCCGCAGACGGACGCATTCTATCCGCAGAAGGTCAAACAACAATCGCCCAGCGAGTATGCGGCGATCGGTGTAGGCGGCAGCGGCGGTGGTCTAGGCAGTAGACAGCATTCACCCAAATCCATTGGTGAGTTGAATAAGTTCGAGGAGTTCGCCTCGAAATTTGAGCAGATTCCACCTAAACTACAGCCACATGCCAAGACGACGGGTGGCAGTCCATCCGGCAGCAACAATAATGCAGCGTTGATTGGCAGCGCGCTGCAGGCGGCGCCGGTGTTGGCGACAAATGGTAGTGGCAACAACAGCTGTGGCATGACAGTGGGCCCCGTGGCGCCAACTACGAGCCCAACCGGGTCACTGCGCGGCATGATATCGCCGCCGATGCCAAATCTACGTGTGGACTTTTTTGCCGAGTCACAAATGATGCATCCGCGGAAGCGATCGTCCAAAAAAAAATCGTCAACAGTCAAAGCGGACCTTACCAACGCAACGCATGACATTTTGGATGACAGCCAAAGGGGAGCTGGTGGTGGCGGCGTAAGCATGATGCTGCTAGCTGGAGCAGGCGGCGCTGGCGGTGGCGGTGGTGCTGGGCCCATCAACGTCACTTCGAACCCAATGGATGTGGCGGTGTGTGCGCCACCGCGTGCCACCATTGTCGTGCAACAAGTAAGTACAAGCGAAAATTTTCACAAATACCACGATTATTAACCGCTAGACTATCAGATAGATACTACATACATATTCAAGTGTGGTGAGCATTTGCCTTTGTATTGCAAAGATAATTTTTGTATATCTTTCGATGAATTGAGTCAGTCATATATATATACATTTTTTTTTTTTCAGAAAATAAATGGCTCGACGCGTTTATTTGTTATGAATGCGTTTCTTTTGTCCGAATTTTCCTCGGCATTTTCCTCTGTTCTGCTTTGAGTTTCACTCATTTACGCACTCAAAACAAACGTGTCGCGCTCAAGGCGTGAGTTTTCGTTTAGGCACATAAAAGCAGTGACTGCACTGATCGCCACATTCAGTTACGTACGATCAACGCAACGGTATACTTGAATATTTTGCTCGCGCAGAAAATTCAAAGCGAAAAGAGAAAACTTATTGTGCAGAGTGTGATTAAATTCAGTTTATATGAAGACAAGTTTTATCTTTGAAGACAATTTTTTTTTTGAAGATTTTCCCTTGTGATCTCTAAGAGAAGTGTGTGACTTTAAACTGATAAGATTTAACGAAATTTTCTTTGCTTTCGCTTCCACTGTGTATTTGTTTAAATTTGGAGCATTTCGATGCCATGTAAAAAAGTGATTTACGATTGAATCCCCGATTTGCAAGAAACTTTTTGAAATTTAATTTTCTAACACAGTTTTTGGACTTTGAAACGTGTGAAAACTTAAATATAAGCATACATGGTTTATTATAAAATTATTGACACTGAACTTGAACGATTTGATACACCAAAAATGGCGCCATTCTATAAGAAATTATGCAGAAGTCTTTCAAAGCGCTGCAAGCAGGTATGTGCGATTATAAAAAAAAAAAAATACTATTTAAGATAAAAGTGTATAAAATAACATAAGATTTTAACTAAATAAATTAAGGTAAAATTTAGTGTTTTAAGTATAGTGCTTTTTTATTTATTTTTTATATTACCTTTGTGTAAAAATTATGTTTGAAAATAATAGGAGAGACACATTTATCCTCGAAACGAAACGTTATTTCTCAATATTTTTTAATGGCGCTAAACTTTTTTAAAGTATGCATAAATTAGCATGAATCTCTTTGTACATATCTGAAGTAATTTTGTATACGTTTTTTATGAAAAAAATTGGATTTTTATCCTTTGAGCTAATACATATTTTTCCCATCAAATATATCTATGAACTCAAAAGCCAAAGTTTTCTTTACTTCATATAATTAGCGGTAGGATTTAACCAAATTAATTTTTTTTTTTAAATTTTCATAATTTTCGTGAAAGTTTGGACTTATGGTGATTTGGAAACTCAGCAACTCCTATGAAGTTGCAAGGAAGAGGACGAACTTTAAAAAAATGCACTTGAATAATTTTTAAATTTTGCTGCCAGTATACGTACATATTTAAGTGTATATCGTAAATATAAACCCCGAACAAAAATGTGGGCGGCATTCTTTTTTTATAAAATTTTATAAAAACCGCAAACTATCAATATAAAATGCCGGTATATGTGTGTGTCATATTTTGTGGGCTTGAAGCTTTTCCTCTGCAATTGGTTATGATTGGCCGGCTGACAAAGAAAAGCCCTATGTAAGTATATCGTCAACTGAGTGAAAGATCACCCTATCTCAGCGGCCGGTTCGTAAACGCCCTAATATATGTAAATTAAATATATCGGCAGATGCGATAAAGTGCTTTTAAACAATTCGCTAAGATGGGACATTCTTGAAGCATTTGATAAGATAGGGCGTTCTTCAACCAAATTTTAAAATTAAACATTTTTGAACCATTTGCTGAAATAGGGCTTTTTCAAACCGCCAGCCAAACTAATTGATATCGTAAGGATGCTTATTCAAACACCTGCGGTAATTAAGCATTATTTTACACAACTCTTTGGTCCATTCCTCACTGTAGATCCTGCGGCTGAATATCGCTGAGAAAGGTTTGCATACCGCCCTTGAGGTTTCTATCTTAAAATGGCCTTCCTCGCACTTTTTATTTTATTTTGAATACAAAATTTGGTAGCAGTTTCGTCTATCTTAAAAGTGCTACCCGAAATTCTAAGAATAGTCTTACAAAGCACAATAAGAAGCCGGTGAGTTTGTTTCGTATTTACTCATTTGCAATTCTATATTCCAGTAAACACTTTCAGGCGTTATCTTCGTGCCGAGGATATTAGCTCGTTGGCCCTCTCGTTAGACTTTACAAGAGTCATAGGCAACCTTTCTACCACTACTTTGCAATATACAATGGACTCCCAGTAAAGGAGCCATCAACTTGAGCAGTATTAAAAAGGTTTATCTTATCTCTTTGATGAGTGGATATATTTCCAGTATTAGCGCTAAAATTATCATCACAGCTTTAATTTCTGCTTTTTTAGCCCTCCATACTTTATTTATGTTATTTATGTTGTTTAGGAATATGAATATTCTTATGTGGTACTTAAAAGGCGACTTAGCGACTTAAGCGGCGGAATGTCTTAAAGTCGTTAAACTCTTCAGCCGAAAACCTATTTTAGCCGTTGTTTACATTGAAAAATTTTACGACATCAAAGCATAAAATGTTTATGACGTCTTGTAAATTTCCTAATTAAATACATAATCGGTCGTGTTTCCGTCAGATATTTTTCTTAGGGAAAATTACTCCAAGACACGTCGGAAGAAGATCAATGAAATAATTAAAATGCAATTTTTTCTAAAAATGCACTGTTGGAAAAAAATAATAGGAATACGGCAAAAATTTGCGGCAAAATTGTTTCTACAATTTCTGATTCGAAAGTTTTAAATTTGGTGAAAATTTGTTGCACTGATCTAATTTTTGTACAAAGTTTGAAATGTGGATTTATGTATATTGTTTTTGTTATATTTACAAACTACTACACTCTTATAGAAAATGAATAAACATTAAAAAAAACACAACTGGTCAAAATATCGCGTCCCGATTTTTTCTAAAAGTGCACATCTGAAAAACAGCCAATTAAGTCGATACAATTTTCCATTTTTTGCCCCTTAAATATATTATAAAGTAGAAAGAGTACCAACTAATAATTGCAATTTTAACGGCACGTGGCTGCATTGCGTTAATTTTTATTTTTCGGTGTCTATCGTTTCAATTTTTTTGTAAAGACTTCAACGATAATTGCTTTTCCATTTCCTTTGAAAATGAAACATAACACACTTTCTTTTCATTCTTCATCTTCTTCTTCATCTCTGAGAGGCAGTTTTGCTTAGGTCAATGTTCACGTGTCACTTTCATTTGTAAAGAAATTTCCAAATGAATTTCACAGTATCATACATTTTAACTCTTTGAATTGATAAAAGCAAAATTTCCAATGAATGGTGACGCTGTAGAAAAAACGAAATGATTGACAGCTGTCAAATTTCTGTCAATGCATGCAAAGCGCAAACCGGTAATATGTATTTAACAGCCAACAGATGGTGAACAAAGCGAGTAACATGTCTTACAGTTATGCAGAAATTCGATGAATTGGAGATGGTTTACTTCCGCACGTGCTACGTATGTTGGGACAGCAGATTCGTAAATAAGTAGACATGTGTGTGATGGATATCACTTCCTCAGGTTTTTAACCGAAATGAGGAAATTTACCATTTGTTTATGAATTTAATTGCTGTTGATCAGCGGACTCTTCACTTTTGGATCTTGGACGTGTGCATGAGACAGATGTGCAATCGATGGCAAAAACCAAACACCGAACCTAGAATTTTGCCATGCGAATATTTTAAGAAAGTCACTCACAATTCATGCATTGATGTTTATTGACAGCTTAAACATTCCCCAAATGTCACTGAAGTGATCAACTTCAATGAAAATAAGGCTACTTGTGGTTTTCGGTTTTTTGTGGAACTCTTCAAACTGAGCTTAGACTGGGAATTAAGCCACACATAGAAGACTTGGTCTCTAAGCATGCGAGATGCTATCCATATCTTGTAAGTTGAAGTATACATCCTCGCATAGGATATCAAAGCTTTTAGCAGTGAATCTAAATATACTTTTAAATTGTCGTCTAAGTTTTGGATTTTCAAAACCCCCAAGCATTTTTATCCATTTCTGGCAATGCAGAACTTTAGCATAGCTGCCTGCTCGCAGCTTTTCAACTCTAAGAATCCCTCATTGCTGGTGGCTATTGGATCCTATCTAGTCCGGGACTATCTATTTCACTGTACAAGTGGCCTTTGCGTGCAATTTGACCTGTTCAAAAGTCGGACTGGTTATCCAATTGATTTATAGCCTTCTAATTTTCGTCAGTTTTTCGGCTGGCTTTCCTACTGCGAAGGGCGCTTTATGTAATTGTTTGACTTGATAGTCAACATATGTGTGAGCATACTTTTACGTTTTTTTTTGTTTTTGTGTGGGCTAGCTTCACAGCTTTTTTCATAGCACCACAACCTTTTCGGGCGGCCGATCTTAAATTTCTGGTAGCAAATTCCAGTACCTTCTCCATTTGCCATTTTAGAACCGTGAGTGAACGTAATTATCGCCAAATCGCCCATTCTATGGGAATAAATCGTTCCCATAATTTAATATGCAAAACAAAAACAAATAATGTTTTGGGAATATTTGTTCACATGAAGTTCGCGATAAGGCCGATAGTTAATATCATTCCCTCTCGCCAATTCTGTTCGCGGCTTTTTTTTCAAATTCACACACACTATCAGTAGTATGCACCATTGAGTCATGCCTGAAGTTTATACATTTGAGTCATGTCTACGGGGCAGCCATTGGGATTCTTGAAAACATTTTGGCTTAGAAAGAAGGAGATCAAAGTACGTAATCAAAGAATGCCATAAACACCAAATTAAATTTGCAAATATTTGTAAAAAAAACAGGAGAACACAAATTGCAGTAATAACTTCTTCTGATCTTAGCTGCCGATACAGTACCGGCCATTAGAACGGACCCTCTTTTGATCCTTTGAATTGGCAGTTTTCGTTTTGTTTATTTAATAATC